CCATCCAAACCGTGTGGCCCTTGTGCTCAAGACCATTGAGAAGTTTAAGCACAAGTACCGGCACAACCCCAGACAAAGGACTATCTTGTGGAGATTCGTCATGCCCTACGTGCACTTCAAACCGCCACAAATAGCCAGACTGGGACTCACAAACTTCTTAGGTTTTGATTCCGACTGTGGCTGCTTTATTTCGGATGAATTGATTAATATCTAACCAACCCTTCCACTGTGTCAGACTTTCGTCTAATGCAATATTTTGTGATAAAATATATAACTGTTGGAACCGCTGGTTAAGATGATCTGTAATAGGACGCACCTTAAAAAGCTTTGCCTCCGATCGCGTCATTGTGTGTGGGTTGCAGTCATCATTATTACAGAAGTGGAGACATTTAGAAAGCAAGAAGTAACGGTCAAAGCTCATCGTTGCTGAAAACCCAGGAGAAGATAATAAATCCTGGGGTGTATTCCAGTATGAGTCTGCACGTGATTTCACAATAATCCCAGTCGCTAGGAGTATTGCGAAATACACGTACAGCTCATCTGGATTCGTATCCATCGCGTGATACGACTGGTTGGCAAAAGTAGCCCCTGATGAATCATGGCCGTTACCTCTTGCTGAGCATATCTATTTGTCTCCATTGAAATCTGCTCCATTATTTGGCGATCCCATATATATGCAAGGCATAGTAAATGCCTCATATGGGCTCGCCAATGGAACTGTGGGACCACAATTAACTTCGGAGAATGGTTCCTTTCTCAATTCAGGAGGAATTTGAGATTCTGAAAACCCTCTCCACTTAAAATCAAACATATTGTATGGCTCGGCGCTGGCTTCGGGGTCGGCACTGGGTTCAGGCTCGGCGTTGGGTTCGGGCTCGGTCTGGGCGCTAGGTTGGGGCTGCAGGTCGGAGGGAAGTTGAGGTGGCCACTCAAAGCCTATAGCAGCGTTTATCGGTGGCACCTCAGTGTCTTCCTCAGACATAAAAAGTCTTTCAGCTCTCCTCGGCAGATGCACTGGCTGAACATCTTCATCTTCATCATCGCTGTCAGCATCCTCTTCACTACCTGTGTAAATAATAATAATATACTGTAGTCTGTTTTACTTATGTAAACAGATATATATATATACTACTAAAAGATAGGTCTGAAAGAAAAATATTCACTTACCATGATTCAAGATGCGGGCAATTTCCTCGTCCCTCAAAGGAGGAGCCCTGACGGCTGATGATGAATATGAAGCCCCGTCTGGAGGAATCCTTAGAAAATATGCGGGCAAATGTGTGGGCAAAAAACATGGCTGCCCATAAATGTCAAACGTATGCTGTTGACGTAACCGGCTCCCGGTATGAGACTATGTACTCCCATTTTCATTACATATTTTCATGTTTTTGAAAGAAATATAATGCTACCTATGAAATATATCAAAACTAATTATTTTTACGTCTTAGATCTAACATCAACTTGCCTTTTCATCCATTTTTGGTTGAAATATGACGACAATAAAATCGTCGTCACGTGTTCGACATTGAACATGCTGATAGTTACAGACCGATTTTTAGTGAAAATTAATAATAATAATAATATTCTACTACATTCACACAACGCCATCTAGTCCCAAACTAAGCAGAGCTTGTACTAATGGTACTAGACAACTGATATAAATACATATATACTTTTTTTTTGTAAATACATACATATTATACATAGAAACACCCAGACCAAATCAAACATTAAATGTTCATCCACACAAATGCTTGACTTGAGCGGGAATCGAACCCGCGACCTTTGGAATAGCAGTCCGTTACACAAACCACTACGCCATTCGGTCGTCGAAAATTAACAGAACTATTATATAATTTGTATACATAATCAATAATTACTTACCCTTCCATCGTTTTTTCTAATATTCAGCGAATCACTTCAAGATAAAACACAAGTTTTCACCAACACAAAAAATAAGTAGTCACCTAGGCGATGGCGGAGTTTTGACTGACTCTTGTTTACATTTTTTTTACTAAAGCTGCGCGAGATTTTGGCTTCACTAGTCAGCCTGTTTCTTCTTTATGCATTTGTAACGTGTTAGAAAGGATAGGGTATATACAATGACGTGCTTTAGAGCGATTATGAGAACACACTTACCCATACCGGCTCCCGGTATGTCAACAGTTCCGGCGAAAATGTGTTTATACCGGGAGCCGGTGTTTCAACATACAAGAGGATAGATAATGGATAGATAATAGGATTTCGTGATTGACGGTATTAAAGAAGTCAACTAATACCAATACTGTGACTTTGGTGTCTTCCATACCCTTTCTAATATCGCCAGTCACTTTAAGGAGAGCGGTAACTGTGCTGTGACCGGGACTGAAGCCAGAATGAAGAGGGCTTAAAAGTTGGTTTCTGTATAGAAATTGAGAGAGCTGTTTATGTACACAGGCCTCGAGTACTTTAGATAGAAAGGGAAGAATAGAAATAAGTCGAAAGTGTTCAGGAAGTATATGTTTCTTTATGGAAGCCACCGATTCTTTATCTTCATTGGTTCTGGCCTACCATGTTTTTATATCGCTTTTATTTGCAATGCATTGTGTAGAAGACATTCATATGCACCCATGAGTGCATAGGAGATATGCCGAATGAATACATGTCTTTGTTTGCTGCACGAGTGGTATCTGTGTTCATCTTCTTTTTCGTTTTTCCACAGATGTAACACTTGTGTCGAATCGTACTGTGACAAGGTACTACATATTTTCCCATCGACCATGGTAAATACTAAGTCATGGCTGCAAATGAGATTTATGCCATGTATAGTTATTTGACTTGGAACTAATTTAGAAATTTGAGTTTTTATTATGTTCACCTCTGATTTGATAACTTCTTTGGTTTCCTTTTTATAAGAAAAACGTATCATCCTACAGAATCTTGTAGAATTCGGTCGAGGATTTTGCCAAATAATGTTGTTCGGGTCTTTTTGAATGAGACGTAAAGGAACTAATGAAACAGAAAACATTAGTTCGTCACTGTATTTCGAACCTTCCCATGAAATCCTTTGTTTATAGCGACTTAGTGCTGAACTTCAATCTCATCCCCATTTCGGTATAAGACACAATTTTTTACTGCATTCAGAAGTACAATGCTGCTCATTCAGAAGTCAGATTTAGTAGTGCTTGCAGTTTGATCTCCGCATATGTGTCTGTAACTTCGATACTATCTTCGGGTGGGTAACATTTGGTTTTAGCCTCTTGTACTAAATAATATGCTGGGTATAGATTAGAGTTTACAGCTTTTGCTCCTTTTCGCATAATTTTATATTGTTCGACGCTTAATTTTGCATCAACAAGGATACCTAAAGCAGCTTCCGAGGAGAGTTTTGGTTCTGGTTTCCTGAATGCAGCTCTTGCCATCTTTATTTTCGTTGAACGTCAAGGAGAAGCAAGAGATATTTCTTTCACAATATTAGCTGCATCTCTTTTGCCTGAGGCAACAAGTTTCATTTCTGTTGCAAGTTTCAATTCTTCTTGAGATTTCGACGTAACCAACTCTTTTAATTTGCTTTTTTTAACTTTTATGTGACAGATTTCAAATGGTCCCTCGGGCCGCCCACTATGCCGGTTTGGCCTTCAACAGACAAAACAATGAGTCAAATAGTAAAGACAACCAAGTATCGTTAATATATAAAGAGCAAGTGCAGCTTCAAATGCATTTTTATAATAAAATTAAAGCACTATTCTGTGTTGCAGAAAGTGATTTTCAGACTACTACAAATAATAATATAATAGAAGTGAAATATGAGAAGGAATTCTGTGAAGAAATATTAAACAAATGCACACTATTTTGGTCTTATGCTATTTTTCCATTGTTGTACAAATAAAACACATTTCTATATAATAAATTACTTTTTTATTAACACATCCTGTAAATTAATTAATCCACAAGCTATTATTATTACTTCAAGTGAATCAAGTGATGGTCAATGCATGCATGAGGCAATAACATATTAAACTCCCTTAGTCTGCTTATAACACGTTCTAAATTAATTCTTAAAGCTGCTATTTACTTTGATTTCTTAACATCTTTAGTACTCGGAGTAGACTGGGAAACTGAGGGTGGCCTAACCAAGCTACAGTTTTTGATTGCCAGCAGGCGTGTCAAATCTTTAAAACCCCGGTCTGCCATTGCTGCTTTTTGACGGGGTAAATGATCAAGGAAGCCACCATTTTTTACAATCATTAGGTCTGTTGCCCTGCTGCTATACCCATCAGATATGTAATTAACAAGACCATCTGGAGTACATGAAATTAAATATTTTAAAGTATTACACTTTTTATACTGTGACCAAGCTGGTGACTGATGCACGGCATTTGTTGGCTTTTCTATTTGAATCTCCAGACAGTCTATAATAGATACAACATTATCATACCTGGCCCTAAATGACATTGGTAATTTTTCATATATTTGGGATGGGGTTGGCCAAATTATCAACTCTTTCATTTTCTCTGAAATGGGTACTATACTTTTTGAAAATATTCTGCTGATTGTGCTCTGTGAATACCCAAAGTTAACCGCTAATAAACTAAAAGATTCATTTAATTTTATTTTCCTTAATGTAATTAAAATATCTATAGTGGGAAGCGGATTATTATCACTTAATAGTTTTATTAAGTAATAAGTTTTTTTTGGCAAACCTAAGAACATTTTTGGTTCCTTTTCTATGGCAATCAATGTGCCACTACGCATTAGGTTCTTAAATTGTATGTCACTGTCTAATTCATCTTCAATTAGCCAACTTGAATCAGATGAACTACGCTCTGGTTCATAATCAGTTGATATTACTGAGTACTGTGAATTAACACTTGTAAGAGAAGCACTGTCAGCAGGGTTGTCTGTAAATAATTTTCTTTTTATAGGAGAAGACTGTGCAGATTTTAAGGGTGATGTTGATGTATTCCTAGATGGTATAGGAAACGGAGATAGTGCTATGTTATTTTTCTTTACTGTTAAATTCACATTGACACCTTTATTCTATAAGGAACTTTACAATTAACTTGCACAGCCTTGTCAAACTGCAACATATCTGTACTTTGTGCCTTTGATAAGATATTAGAAACAGCTTCCCCATATGTTTTATTGTCAGAAATGTTTAGTTCTACATTTGGTATATGGTATGGTACTGAAGCTGTACTGGGACCTGCTGTATACTGGGGTACAGCATCAATATCTGAAGCCGATCTATTAGCAGCAGGTCCCAGTACAGCATCAATATCTGAAGCCGATCTATTAGCAGCAGGTCTATTATTCCTTTTTATAGCACCTTTTCTCTCTGGTGGTGACCACAACTTATCTTTTTCTGACACTGGAATATGTATGGTACTACTACTTTTTTTACTATGTTCTAAAGCCATTATTTTATATTGCATATAATTTTACTGTGTCCTTTTCAATCTGAAACCCAGATATAAATAGAAAGATGAATAAAAGTAGTTTCGAACTTTCCTCTTACTCTAATCTTTTAAATGTTTTTATTGATAGGTAATACTCTTATGGATACCTTTGTATTATATATTGGGAATATCTTTAAACTAGGTTATGTTTTTGTCTAGGTTTGTAAACAAGTGCAGTTAACTAAGTAAAAAAGATTGTAATATGTATTTTATTACTTTCTTAATATCCTTACTTACGTTAAAATGATCTTCACAACAGTATAAACAGGTCAACCACGATATATTGTCTTTTTACATCGCCTTACACCAGTTTCTTCTTATACCTTGATCTTTCGGCATAAGGAAATATACTTTGTCAGGTGCAGTTTTGATATTATTTGGGCACAAAGGAACGGCACAATATTTATAATAAGTTTTTATTGGCTTTTCCATGGTAATAAGTTATTTTTATCACTCACTTTTTTAACTTTCAGAAACTTTGTGAACTTCACTCCGTTGTTGACATCGAGTTCGTCTGAAAGTGTAATCTGACGTCACAAAAAAAGCGCGCCAAAACGTGTTCAAATTGCCCAAAATGATAGTGATTTTAATAAAAAAAAATTTGCTTACCGTTTTATGTTTCGGATGTGTTATATTTATTTTTGGTAATGTAATAACTAGTAGAATCGTTTAAAAAAATAAAACCTATAGGGTAAGTTTTCTACCCAAAACCTATAGGGTACTTCCGGTTGACCTAGAATTGACAATTTTGGTTAAAAGCAATGTCTTACAGCACAAGTAAAGAGAAAATTCTGAAAAATAAAAAAAGTTGAAAATTAAGGTAAATTTTGGTACTTACAAGTTTGAAAATCGAAATTTGCCCATATCTTTTTATTGTGTTCACTCAGGACCTTGATTTTTATACACCTAATAGGGACCATAGACCTTAGTATCCGGTATAAATTTCAACTTGCTAGGTCTACCCGTTCCTGAGAAAATCGGTGGTGAAACACGGACAGTCGGACAAGAAAGTGATCTTATAAGGGTTCCTTTTTTACATTTTGAGACACGGAACCTTAAAATTATAAAAAATGCAAATTTAGAACAAAATAAATACAATAAAATAATGCCGAGCACCATTGGTAACACGGGTCACTCACCTGTAGACGACGCGACGGCAGCGATGCAAAAATGGTGGCAACATCAGAATGAGCCTAGCAGTCTTATCACTAATCAACTATGTACTTCACTTGTTTTGATTTAAAATCACTGTATCAATTTATTAAAATATGAATATCACTTTCAACGGTTTTTATTCACTAGATCAATATTTACTTAAAATAGAATAGAAGAAACTTTATTGTACACCAGTTTAGTACATCATACATACAATAGTAATCAAATTAATTTAAATTTTTAGGTTTTCAATGTGCCTACCGTTCACATCAATGCATCGAATACACCTTCGCATCATGTTGTCTTGTATTTTAGCACGCAAGTTGTCATTTGCTCTTAGTTTATTAAATGCACTTATTATCCTCGATCTTAGGTCTTCTATTGAAGTGACGTCTATTGCGTACACTTCATTTTTAACACATCCCCGCAAAAAAAGTCTAAGGGCGTGAGATCTGGTGATCTAGGTGGCCATCGTGTAGGCCTATCGCGTCCTATCCACTGTTCACCAAACATGTGCTACATGTGCAAAGACGCTCCCTCGCAGCTACCACGCGCTCCGTCTAGCTGGTACCACAACGCCTGCTTTGAGCTACAGCCTAAGAGATATGATGAGATACAGACTGTAGTCAGACACTGGGCCATCAAACAATTCCAAAAACCTGATAGCAGTAAAATTTCTATTAATGAAAATTCCAATTATCTGATTACCGTGAATTGTTGTCTATACATTATGGTGGGAAGATTCGCACAGCATGAGGATTGTCGTTGGTCCAATATCGCAAGTTTTGGCGATTCCATTATACCATTACGTGTGAAGGTACTCTCTTCAGTCCACATGATGTTGGATAGGAATTCAGGGTCAGTCTTATGGGTTGATCTCAGTTTAATAAAGCCTGTACTTTTCGAAATCTGAAAGGCCGTCGTTTATTAGCCTTTAAAATACCTTAAATAGTAATACCTTAAATAATATTTTATCTTTTTGTGGTGAACACTGAATTGACGAGCAGCGCTAAGTAAACTGCATGTAGGGTTACGCATGAAATGGTCTAATATACGTTCTTCTTCGGTGTTCGGGGAGCAAACACAACATCACGTGGCACCAAACTTTGATCGTAATCACCATGTCAGTATACTCCGGGGCTGTAAAGGTCACTCACGGCAATATGAATGTTAATATCAATAAATCAATATAATTAAAACACTAGTAAGAAACCTAGTTTCACAAATACACACACACACACACACACTCCACAACATATTGTTACTTTGCATTGCCTTTGCGTTGACTCGTTGCAATACGACACAAAGTCTTGCACCAAGTGACCGACTGACGCTACTCTACTTTCTAGAACCCGGAAGTCATCGAATATTAAATAAGTAAATCAATGCTGCCAATTGTCAAAGCTCGAAAAACTTTGTAATCATTACGTACAGTAAATAAAACATTTAATATAAACAATATAATTTACGCAGTCTAATAATATTAAAAGACTTATTTATTAGCATATTTTGTTTGTAATCAATATGTACAAAAAAGCGCGCAATTACGATGCATAATGCAATAGGTTGGTAGATGATGATCCTGATGACACGGTAACCAATGAAATGCTTCTATTTTATTTTCGCCGACACTGATCAACACAAGTTTATGAACCTTGTTGTCAAACACAGTATGATCTTTCGTATGCCGCTGTTTGATTTTACTTTTAATACATTTTTATTTTTAACTTTTTATTAACTATTATGTCCTAACTTGTGCGATAATTTACGAGGTACAGAAAAAAAAGAAGAAATAGAGAATTTTGGGTACATCCTATACTTTCGGAAAGATTACTGAAGGGACAGTTCCATATTAAACATTCAACTCTGAAACAACATCAGGATAAATTTTTCAAATTTTATAAAATGTCTGTTACTACATTTAATGAGTTGCTATTTATTTTAAGACCTGCTTTGAGTCATTCAAAAACAACGATGAGGAAGTGCATTGGTCCAGAAGAAAGGCTGTCTGTGACACTCAGGTAAGTAAATAAAATATAGGTATATAATCATAATTATATTATTTATTATTTCTCTCAGCAACAAATTAAGTTTTTCATTATTCAAATAACAAATAGGTTTCTGAGGAACTTATTATTTAAACCAAAACATTATATGAACAAACAAAAAACATTTTTAATAAATTAGGGAAGTATTTTAATTCTCCAAATATACTACATTTTAAAATGTCCCATACCTCATTTAAGATTTACTATGTGTTTATATAAGTATATTATGTTTTAGTTGTCTACGCTGCGTTCGGGATGACGTCATCCGGTTTTTTTTCCATCTGACACCGGAACGCGCGACCTGAGATTCAAACCGTACGTTAGCTTTTTTTTCCGTCCGGAAAATGTAAGAACGTTTGCGCCCAGTAGAATATTTTGTATGTAAGGTATGCATTCGTGTCTCCGAATCGTAATTCCAGATCAGGAAACCTAATGAGGAAACCGTACGTATGCTGCCAGCCTTAAGTGTGTGCCGTCTGCGTTAGCGCGCGTTGAAGCAAACGTTCAATTTTTTTCGCACACATTTTGTGCGGAGCGGCGCAGCGCGGCGCGGTGCGGTGCGGTGTGCTCGAATTAAGGTGTGATTCCGAAACTCAACAACAAGCAGCAGTGCTGTTGCCGCAGTGCTGCCACTAAAGTGCTGCCCAGCAGTGCTGCCTGCCGCGCTAATTCCGAGCAAGACGGCAGTGTCGCTCTGTTCATGGTGATGTGTTGTTGTGTATTCGTTAGTTTACTTTGAGTTGACAAGATGTCGATTGATGACCAACTTTTATTTATACTGTTGGAAGAAGAAGAAGATGCCGATGATTTGTTGTTGCTTTATGCCAATAGTAAAAGAAAAGCACCAGATTCGTTTTATAAAAGCAGACAACGGGAAGGATGTTACAAGACGCTGATTAAAAACCATTTGATAGGCGATGAAGAAAAATTCAGAGAGTACTGTCGTTTAAATAAAAATCAGTTCAGTTTTATTCATAGTTTAATTGCTGACAAAATTGAAGCAAAAGTTTCTCGCAAGGAAGTTATCAACGCTGAAGAAAAAATATTCTTAACATTAAGGTGAGTTAAGTTTATAAATTTAAAAAGTCTTGGAGACTATCATCGGGGTAATGATTAGATGTACGTAAATCCTCTCTGTCCTGGTGATTGAACTTCCGTAATAGGAGAATATGGGCCCGTAATATGTTGAACAGGGCTTTGGCCAAGTATTGATAGATGATGTGTATCTCTGAGGCCTGGAGATACATTCGTTGAAGACCCTTCTGGTGAAGATCTGTAATACGAGGAACTCAGCGTATCTGATCTCTCCGTTCCGGTCGCAATTTTTGCTGCCAAGATTACATAATCTGATACAACAGAGCTAATGCCTTTTCGCTTTTGCCTTTTGTAAAGGCGGTAAACTTCGTAAAACATTACCAATATAATTGCAGAAAAGTTGTACGTCATCATCCTTGCGTTGGACATTAGTCTTCATCAAATCTTGCCTTTTTCATTTCTTTCTTTCCAAATTTTTATTATATTATCGTCGCTGTGTTTAAGGCGTTTTACTTTGATTGAAGTCTTATTTAGAAGCAGTGATGTTTCCGTTTCCTCGGTATCTTGATTTTGTGATTCTCTTTCTAGGTAATCTAAATCAACACTATCCTCATAATCAGTGACATTCGGAGGTGCGTCTATTATATTCGTACCCCCCGATGTGTGTTCGGGAATATTGTCTAGGAACGACAACTGTTGTTACGTTCTGTCTTTTGCATTTTT